AATGTCAGAGAAGATAATTTGAGGTAGAATAAAAGAACATCCTAAGGAAGCCCAATGCTTGTGGAAGCAGTGGAAGACCCATCCAGGCCAGCAAACGTTAAGATTGGAAGATCACTTGTGGGAGGTCACCAAATAGTACCCATAACCAAGGCTAATTTCTCTAAACGTGATCAGACACTTAAGGAAGAGGCATTGTTGGGTGTGTGCCAGGAGGTAAAGCCAGTCAATGTTAAGGCAAGAAATACAAACATAAAGACAGGACATCTTCTAACAAAACATTTAACTGACCTCTATAAGAAGAGCATAGTCCATTTGTCATCATCATAGGCTCTTCAGGTTAGAGAACTTTTGGTGGATTATGCAGACTTCATTTCAAAAGGAGATAATGACCTCAGCTGTACAGACCTTGTGGAGCTCAGAATAAACACAGGCAATCACCTTCCAATAAAGTTTCCTCCGAGGAGAATAGCTTCGGCAAAGTGACAAGAGATGGAGAAGGTCATGGATGGCCTAATTAAGGAAGGGATAGTCGAGAAATCAGGTAGTCCCTGGTCAGCTCCTGTCGTGTTAGTCCAGAAGAAGGATGGGACCCAACGTTGCTCAGAGGACTTCAGGGCTGTTAACAGTATAGCCGAAAAGAACACATATTCACTGCCAAGAATTGATGATACTCTCATTGCCCTAAGGGGAGCCAGGTGGTTTTTAACTCTAGACTTAAATTCGGGTTTTCATCAAATGAAAATGGCTGAAGCAGATGAACCTAAGACTGCATTTAGTTATGGCCAAGGTCTTTGGCAATACTGCGTCATGCCATTCGGGCTAAGCAATGCTCTGGCAACATTTGAGAGGCTGATGGAAAGAGTACTGGAAGGCCTACAATGGAGGATAGACCTAGTGTACCTGGATGATGTCATTGTGTTTGCAACAATGTTTGATGAGAAAATGTTCCGGCTAGAAGAAGTATTCAAGCATTTGAAAGCAGCAAACCTCAAACTCCATCCCAAGAAATGCCACTTGTTCCAGAAAGAGGTACTTTACTTAGGCCACATTGTAAGTGAGCATGGTGTGCAAACTGATCCTGACAAGATGAAAGCAGTGCGTGATTGGCCAACAACAGATAATGTGGGAGAGCTAAGAAGTTTCTTGGGATTCTGTACCTATTACGGGAAGTTTGTGAAGGACTTTGCAACTATAGCTGCTCCACTACATGATTTGATAAAGAAAAGGCCAGAAGTTTGAATGGACAGTTTCTTGCCAGCATGCTTTCAAGACATTGAAGAAAAATTGGCCTTTGCTCCACTTTTAAAGCTTCCAAATCCCTCTCTGACATACATACTGGATTGTGATGCTAGTAATGTCGGAATTGGAGGAGTGTTGTCTCAGAAAGTTGGT